GAGGAAACGTCTCAGAGAGGAAACGTCTCAGAGAGGAAACGTCTCGTGGTTCTGACGTCGACATGAGTTCGTTCCACAGTTTGTTGAAACGTTTCTTCTTCTCTCATGAGCGACTCTGTGTTGAGGAAGTGTTTCATGTTGACAGGAAACACAGAGACAGGAAGTAGTAGAACGTCAGGTTCAGAGTCGACATCTTCACGACCTCGTCAGCTTGTGATCTCAAATCCACCAGAAGAAGATTCATTCCAAACTTCCAGTTCTGCGTCTGTGCTGCACGAGGTTAAAAGTCCACTCTCAGATTCCTCAGCTAACATGAAATGATTCGCCCTCTAACTCAATTTGAGGCGTTTTCTCGTTTGTGGGAAACAATCGCTTCCATTCATCCGCCTGGTGACCCCCCCCCCACACACACAGACACACACACACACACACACACACACACACACACACAACATCCATATGAAACAATGCACAGATTTCAAAGTGGAATCCAGCAGATAGAGGCGGAGCCACACAAACAGGAAGCGTGAGAACAGATAACGAGGTTTTTGTAAACGAGGAAAAATGCAGCTCCGACAAAACAACATGAATTTAACTCCTGAAAGTTTTTAAGATTAAAGAAGATGAATTCGTTCACTGGATGTTTCACTTGCTCGGTTCAGTTGCTCGGTGTTTTTTTTTTTTGTTGCTGGTGATTTTTAAAATTCATGAAAACTTTAAAATATATTTGAATAAAAAACAAATATTTCCAAGAAGAACTTTACACACGTGTGTTCACGTTTCACATGTGTCACATGTTAGATTTACAGCTTTTAGTTCAAATGTTCTGTCCAAGTGCTTCCTGTTAGTTTCTCACACACACACACACACACTCACACACACACACACTCACTCACTCACACACTCAGTTCATTTCTTACACACTAACATTGACCCTCCTCTTCCTCACGTTGAATCTTTTCCTGCTGATTTAATATTTTGTCCGTTTTAGTTCCAGTCTCTAACTTCCTGTCCGAGCAGCTCGTTTCATTTCCTGTGGCCTCGATTACTGATGAACTTTTTACTGGACCGACGAAGCAGCTGTTAAACAAACTCTGGCTTTATTAAGTCAAACCTAAGCACGTCGCTGTCGTTCTGGCTCCTCTATGAAATCTATGAATAGAGCGATTAGATCATCGAGCAAACGTCTCCTCACTAAACCCAGAATAAATTCTAAATCAGCTTATGTTGCCTTCAGTCGTTACGGTCCCTCTGTGGATCTCTGCGACACATGAGCTGGAGTCTGCTCATCTTCTAGAATCCTCTCTGTTCGTGAGGTTAAAAGAATTTAACTGTTGTATTATTATATTATTATTCTCTTCATGACAACAGTCGTTCATTTTCTCAGTTTTGATTGTCGAACCTTCTAATGTGCTTTTGTCACATTTTTCTTTGCTTTTCATCTTGAAGCACGTTGAGTCGACGCCTGTTGTGTGAAAAGTGCCCACAACATGTGTAATACCCCCCCCCACCACCACCACCACACACACACCTGCTGACACTGAGAACAACACACTGTGAACTCACATGTTAACACACGTCACACATGTAATATTATTTAAATTCAACAGCTAATGATCCGTCCTGTCACACTGGATATTATCTTTATTCATATTTCTATATATTTCCTTCTGTTAATGTTGAATGTTTACTTATTTATTACTTTTACTAAAGTCTGTTTTTTTATTGTCGCTGCGACACAGAACATTTATCAACCTGAAAAAATCAACTCTTGTTTAAACGTAGATTTTAATTCAAGTTCACATTTAAAAACACACTGATTCTGTCAGTTCCTGATTTAAAATCAAACTTGAAAGTTTTACTTAAATCAAGTGTTTGTGCAGCTGTTTGTATTTACACGTTTAACAATTGAAAACTTCTAATGTTAAACACACACACACACACACACCCACACACACACTCACACACACACACACACACACACAGCTTGCACTGTTAATCCCTCTTCAAGTGTATTAGCAGTGTCACTGATCGCAGTGACTCGGCGTTCTACAGACACGTGAGCGCAGCACGAGATGCAGAAGTGAAATCTGCTGTAAACTAAAAAACTATAAAACATTCATGACATAATGACATGACACTTTTTTAAATGTTTAACATTTCTGGAGTGAAATGTGATGATTTGACTCAAAAGAGACAAATATTAAATTCTAGTCAATGTGGAGCTGAAGGAAAATAAATAAAACAGATTCAAAGTTGTGGAGATAGAAATAAAAAATGCTTTTGTAAAACAAATGAGACGATGACGAGTTATTATCTGTCGATGAGTCTACTCAGGGAAGTGAGAAATAAATTCTGTCACATTCAAAAAGTTCCATCTATTTTATTATTTCTCTTCAGACATATGTAGAAAAACAAACATTTGCAGTTGATTTGTGGGTTTGAATTATAAATCAAGAAAATAACTTCCAACTAAAAAAAGAAAGAAATGGCAGCTGATGATTTGTCAAAATGTTGAAGCTTTGAAACAAACATCTTCATCATCGTCCCGAGAGAATCTGATGACGGAAGAGTCAGCGGGTTAACACAGGAAACAGCTGGAATCCTCACGTGGCTTAAACCAAACACAAAGTTCGAGATGCAGCGAGTTAATGATTCCGTCATCGATCCAGAGCGTTGATCCGTTTATTTAACAGCTTCACTGTGGACGAGAGTCGTTCTTCTACGTGAAGGAAACTTCTCTCTGTTTTACAAACACATATTTTAATTTTACGTGTTCGGGTTATTTTGTTCCGCTACAGAAACTGGCACAAAACATTTTTCTTTTCCTGCTTCAGGTCGGAGCGATGGAACGTTGATGGAAACGTAGAATTAAATGACATAGATCAGTTCTAATCTTCCTTTTATCAAATCCAGGAAAAAAAAAACTCAACAACCAGCAACTTATTTCACATGACAATATAAAGTTCACACACACACACACACACACACAC